CCGCCCCGCCCAACCTCACTCACCCCGCCCCGTCCGCACTCAGTGCTGCCGGCCTGCAGCTGCAGGAAAGCCGGCCGGGCCGACTGCAGAGAGGGGTCAGGAAGGGTGGACAGGACGCAGGGAATTTCCCCGCCCTTCCCCCCTTTTCTCTCGCCTCGCTCACAACCCCTCCGTCGTGTGGTATGGCGGCATTCTTTTGGCTTTGCGGTGGGCTCGGGGCTCGCCAGCAGCGCGGCGTGTGATAGGGCAGTCGGACTCGCCTCCCTCCACAATGCCCCTGCTTCGCTCTCCTCGCTGCCGTGCCCTGCCCTGCCCCCTCCCCTCCCACCTTCCCCGCTTCGTGTGCGACCTGTCCAGTTTCCAATTCGCCCGCTACCACTACTTCTTGTTAATACCGCTGCTTTGCGGAGCTATTACACTCTGTGCGCGCGCGGTCGTGTGTGTGTGTGTGTGCGTGAGTTTTGTGCGCACTTGTGTGCGTGTGTCTGTGTGTTGTGTGGCGACGTCCGGCGCGCTTCTCTCTACCGTTTATCGATCCGGGTTTTACTCGCTGCACGGAGAGGGGACGGAGTGAATGAGAGGAGGGCGTGAGAGCGAGTGTGTGTAGCGTGTGTTTGCAGAGGGAGGGACGGAGACAGGGATTATCAATACGCACGCAGCCCACGAGCCGGGCTGGCGCCGTACGTCCCGCTGGAGAGGGACGAGCCTGTAGTGGGAATGATAGTAGCAGCCGTAGTAGTAGTAGTAGTAGTAGTAGTAGTAGTAGTTGTGGTAACTAGTAGTAGTAGGATGATGAGGAGCAGTAGGATGAGGACGATGAGGGATGATGATGATGAGCAGTAGGATGAGGACGATGAGGGATGAGGTAGGTAGTAAGGTAGGATGAGGAATAGTAATAGGAGGAGGAGTTGAATGAAGAGGAGTTGTAGGAGGACGTGGAGGTTGTGGAGGACGAGGAGGTGTAGGAGTTATAGGAAGATGAGGAGTATGCACCCAAGGAGGAGGGCAAAGTCACATCGAAATGACGTCAAAATTACCTGTAAGGTTAAAATTTGGGACCATTTTGACGTCCGCGTGATGTCAAAATGGTCCCCAATATTGACCTTAAAAGTCATTTTGGCATCAGTTTGATGTCATGCGGACTTTGCCTTCCTCCTTGGGTAGTTGTAAGATGAGGACGAGGTAGTTGCAGGAGTTGCATCGGTAATTGCAGCAGTATCGAGGGTAGCTGTATCGTGTATACTGGCGGTAAAAGCAGCAGTATCGTGTAGTAGGCTGCGGCGCTGTCGTGCGATGCGAGCGAGCTGTCGCGGGGGGCCGCCGCCCGCTACGCTGGGCTCGGCGGGATCACAGCGGGAGTGCCCGGAGTCTTAGAGGGCCTCGGCAGCCTCATGCAAACAACTGGGGAGAGGGGGTCTTTGTGCCACGACCAACAAGCTGCTGTCACTTCCCCAACAAATTTGGGCAGGCTGCCTTTCCTATCTTGCAACGCCCCCCCGAGGCTTCATCCCGCGTCCTTCACTGGGATCCTTGCGTTGGCTGCTGCTCCATCCTCGTACCCAAGTTTCTTAGGTTATTGTTGGATGGATGTGGTGATCGACTAGCCGCTCCATTGTTCATGGCCCCGCACATGGAATTAAGGGAACGAACCGTCGCGTTGTCGCGTTAATGTTATTTCACGTGTTTAAGTGTTGGCTTCGGCGATAACTTTATCAAGGAGTCTACAGCATCCCCAGGTGGGACCATGCCGTCATTT